ATTTTATTTTATTTTTTAAAATTCAGAAATGCATCCAAATAATTTTCTTTGGTAATGGTCATCATGCTACAGATACGGCTGTACTTCTACTGAGACCAGAACTTGTTTGTTTTATAATGTTATTATGAATTAATGTAATTTGATTTATAACATTTATTTTACAATTTATTAAGCCTGTGTTCAGCATCATTTTACGCTTATACGTTTGAAAGGCATTCAAAAGCACTTCTAAATTAGTGCCTCACATAAATATTCCCCCATTATGTTGTCAATATCTGAGTGAAATAATCACCAAACCGACTGACAACAGTTTAATACTCTGATTGTGTGTCTGTCACATGCTTGAACGTCTTTACTAAATGATATTAAGCGTGTAAATATGTCAGTAAGAATATTAACTGGCTGTTTACAGATGTGTACAGCGTGAAATCTCAATGCCTGACTTCCTGGAATTAATAACCAGCCCAGGGTGAAGCTTAAACTGTGAAATAGGAGAGTTTTTCACTTATCGAGCATCAGATCCGTCAGGCTCTGTGGCTCTGTAATCAGCAGCGTTTCTCCTCCGGCCGGAGAAATGAGCTTCCTGACAATCCCAGACATGCCGGAGATGTTTCGTTTGTTTTAAGATGATACATCTCTGAAAACTATACCAGTCAAAGTCATTTATGATCTCAGATAGCCTCGAGCCTCAGACTTCAGTGTGTTTATGGGCTACATGGAAAAACGGGACCAATTTTAAGAAATTGTAACCCAAATCTTAGGTTGTTTTGAGATGCACGTCCTGACGTCACTTGGCATGATGAGAACAAACTCAAGACAGATTTGAGGAAATTAGACTGTCAGCCCCTTGTCAGGTTTTGGTGCATTTTACATGGAGCCCAGGTACAATTCTCCAAATGTTGCTTGTTAATGTAACCAGCAATTAATTCTACTTTATACTAGCTGTGTTTCCGTCAACGTGTTTTATGCAAATATTAAAAATAAAATAAAACACCAAGATGCACATCAAATCTTAAAATGTGCATTTAAGAAATATTTTTATCTGCTTTGTTTAATCCTGTCCCATCACGCATCTTAATGCATGATACTGTAGCGTGTTTCGATTTGTCTGCATTGAGTCATTCATTATTAGGAAAAAAAGAGCCCAGCTTCTGTTTTTGTTGTTGATAGGTTGCACCAGTTTCCCAGGAGTGACACATTTGGTCTCTTGAGCTCAGTGCTTTATTTGCTAATGTTCGATATTCCATATTTTCCGAAAAGTTACATTTTGTTTTATGCGATATTTCAGTTTTACGTAAAGTTAAATATCCAGCTTTGTTGTATGTGATATTCCAATTTTTTTAATTGTTTTTTACATACATGTTAAATATTGCAACTTTGAATGGAAACATAGTTACTGTCTTATCCTATAATGATAAAATACCCAACATGTTACAGATAAATTATGCTGTACATTGCAAATCACAGGATTTTACTCCAGCTACGTTTCTCTTCTTTTCTATCCTCGACACATAAACATGTTGAACTTTCACTGGAGTTTGTGCTTTTTTGTTAGATATCGTAATATCCTTTTACCTAGGGCTGGGCCGATATGGCAAAAAAATTAAATCTCGATTTTATTTAATTTTTTTTCCACTTGAAAATATAACTACAATATGATTCAAGTAACTTTTTTTCTTTATCAACCCTCTAGTTGATAAAGTGCACCGCACATGATTTGTGAAATGTTAAACAAATCACTTGTTAAATATCTTTGCAGAAAAGATG